TCTCCTTTTCCTCTCCTGCCTTTCTCCCCCTCCCTTCTCCCCCCTTGACAGCTCTACAAGGCTAGCGCGCACGGAGGTTCCACGCGCCAAACTCTCTGCGACGTTTCCACCGAACCTTCAGGAAAAGAAGCAAACGCTGTAACAAGCGGACATACACTGTTTTTTCCGTGGCATTGTTTCCCGATCCTCTTCGCAACTCCCATGTAGGATTCCTCTGCGGCGTTCTGAAGGAATTTACACGGATTCAACTCTTCTTTGATTGCGCGGTCAACCACATGGCAAAAATAATGATGTTTGGGCCGTATTTTCCACATCATCACATTATGAGTAATGGCGCCATTTGCCAGCCATTGCCATGACAACAAATACAAATCTGATGCGTAATCAAATCGTCTGACCTCTGATTGATCAAGCCGCCAATCCGCCATATCTAAAATGAATTGGATCTCTCCGAAAGCCCATGCGTTGGCGCGTCGGATTCGAGATGCCTCTGCGTCAACTGGTTCGAATTCAAACGACATGTGGGCAACGAAGCGCATGATAGTAGTAACGGCAGAAGCTTTGAATTGGGACGACAATTCTGGATACTCCACCTTCCCGTCGGGGACGCCGATGGAAGCGAGGGTAAAGCTGCTGCCCCACGGTATAGACAAACCACGATCGGTGCAGAAGTTCTCGAGCTTCCTCCACAAGCACCGCAGAGCCATCTCCCGGTCGACCAATGCCTTCCGCGACGCGCGCCTCCTCCTCCTCATCCTCCTCCCTCTCCTCATCATCATCATCCGCCCCCTCATCCCCCTAGCCTTTTTTCACCGCTCTCCTCCCAAACGCTTTCTCCCCATCCGCATTCGCTTCGGCATGTCGCCTCTGGCCGGTGGCGCCCCAAAATCCGTTTCCACCTCCTCCCTCCTCCTCCTCCTCCTCCGCCTCCTCCTCCTCCTCTCCCTCTCCTCCGCGCCCCCCTCCCCCTCCTCATCGCCAAGCTTCTCGAGCGCGGCCCGGCCGTCCGACAAGTTGCGCGTTCGAAGGAGCAGCATCCGACCTCGATGATCTTCACTGGAAGGCCCGAGCTAGATCGAAGCGAAACACCAGACATCGGGCGGGATCGGACCCTGATCAGGTCGATATCGGGCCGCTTGAGATCGGTGATCAGGCGAGCTTGCACGGGCCAAAGAAAAGGAATCGGATCGTCGAATCGGGAGCAACCCTGGCAAGCCTCTGGAAATAATGCCTGCCCGACCCACGTCCAGATGTGGTTCGCGCAGTGGTCCCGCAGAATCCCCAGAGGCGCCACGTGCATCCAATCCCAGTAAGACATATCATGACAGTGGCCCCTAATCTGGAACGCTGGGCTGCGTTCGCTCACGCCCCAGAACCGCTCAAACGCATCATTCGATAATTTCGTTGCCCTCCACGGTGCATCTTTCCTGAAGTTCCCGTAACAAAGTGATGAGCCCGTTGTCCTCGACGGCTTACAGGCGAAGCACGACATGCATATCCAAGTACATTGCCAGTAATGCTTCTCACTGTGAACTTCCATTTTCGCTTTGGTATCGTGCTTGATGCCAGTATAACATGCAGTGTAGCCGCCAGCCATTACTTGTCTCATGATTTTATACCTGATGGCGTCTTTCTGAGACTGCCGGAGGTCTTCGCCATAATAGCCACGAGAAGGACCGACGCCTAATTCACACAAACGTATGCTCCAAGCAAAGAGCGACAACACTTCACGAATGACTCGCGCCTTGATGTTCGACACGGACACGTGCACGGCTCTCACGGCACACAACGGGAACACAATATCACAAAGCATCCCGACGGCAAGGGGAGAACGAAACGTGAAAAAGTACGCTAGCCCAAGGTGGGCCCCGAGCAAATGAAATTTGCCTTTTTCAACTGTCCCTTTCCTCGAGCCATCAGTTCCAAGGTTCTCCCTGAGAGGATTCGCTCGCCGCCCCTCCCACGTTCGTTCGGCGCGCGCGACAGCGTTTGCATAGAATTCACTGTTCCTGTACACCTCCGCGCCGTCGACGAAAAGCATGATTGGGATCAGCGTGTCTAGTTCACCTGGAGTAAGTCCATCCAAAGCTGGATGTCGTGAACCCCAAGTTGTTTTCTCCAGTGCCCATTTCCAGTACTTCACAAGTTCCTCGGGCCCTCGAGGCCCCATGGTTGAAACTTGAAACTGTTGCGCCCCAGCTAGCGGCAGGGCGTGCAGAACTTCGCGTGGCAATAAGCACGGCACATCTACAGTCTCTGTGACTTCGTCGTTCCCCAGCAGGAGATCCAATTTCAAATAATATGGGTCGAGTTGAAGCCCAGGAGACCCCGCGCCCACAAGTGGAGATCGCGCTCGACGTTCTGCGGCTGTGACCCACCACAACCGAGCGACGCGAAATCGACGATGGATCTGTGAGCAAATCCATCCTGAATGGGCGCCACAATGTTTTGCAGGATTGGTAGGGGGCCGTTCCGATAGGTGACGCCTCCTCCTCCGCCCCCCTCTTTCCCCCCCCCCCCCCACTTCCCCTCCCCATCCCCGTGCCCCTCGTGTTCCCCCTCCTCCCCTCCCTCTCTTCCTCCTTCCCCTCCTCCTCCTTCTCCTCTTCCCCCTCCTCGAACCCCCCTCCTCCCCCCCCCCCCCTTCTTGCGCCGCGTGCAGCCACGGGGGGCAGGGGGGGGCCGTGCTGGGAGGGGCCCTCACTCCGCTCTCATGCCTTACGAAGGGGGAGGGGTCGGCGTCTTTGGATTTCGCACTGTTCTGCAGCGAACCGCAGCCCCCCCACCCCGCCCCACGCGCGTTCCCCCCTCCCCCGATTTGAATTGCACAACGACAGAAAAAGGCAGGAAGGCGCGGGCGCGGGCAGGAATTGCTGCATAACGCGCTGCAGTGGTGGCTGGATTACAAGGGCGGTCATTCCGATTCCGAGAGCGTCCAGGAAGTTCACGTCCAGCAACGACGGGGTAGGTGCACGTGACCCAAGAACCAAGGGCGCAACGCGCTATGCAACAATCCACGCCCGATAAGGGTTTTGTTTCAGAAATCTGTCCTGCACCATGCATCTCGCGAGCCGCGCCCCCCCCTCTGGGCGCGCCTGTCCTTCGGGGCCCGCGCAGGGAATTTGAGGGGGTGAAGGAGGATAAAGAAGAATGAACGTGAGAGGGCGCGACATGGAAAAACAAAAAAAAAACAAAAAACAAAAGCTAGAAAAGGAGAAGGATGTCCAGAGCCAATGCTGGTCAGCATCTCCTCCACGGTGAGAGAGCGCAGGCCGGAGGACGCCATCGGCCGCCGTGGACTCCTCGCGGGCGCTTCCTCTTCCATCTCTCCCCTTTTTCTCCTCTTCCCCCTCGCCGTCCTCCTACTCCTCGCTTCCATTTCGCCCTCCGCCTTCTCCTCATCCTGTCCTTGTCCTCCTCCTCCACCCCCCGTTCTCCCCGCTCCTCATTCTCTTCCTGGTATATTATTGCTCATCATTTTCCCATCGTCCGACTCCTTCTGCCCCCCCCCCCCCCCCTCCGCCATCCATCTCACCTCATTCTCCTCCTCATCTTCCTCCTCCATCCCCTCGAGAGTCTTAGCGATGCACCTGTTACCCTGGCAGTGCAATCAGCGGGTCCTCGAGCGGGTGACACACGGAGGAGGAGGAGGACGACGACGAGGAGGAGGAGGAGGAAGAAGAGGACGAGGAGGAGGAGGCGGCGGCTGCAGCGGCCGAGGACGACGAAGAGGCGGAGGGGCGAAAGTATAGGGAGGGGGAGGAGGGGGAAGAGGAGGAGGAGGAGGAGATGGAAGAGATGGAGGAGGAGGAGGAGGAGGAGGAGGACCGAGGGGCTAAAGGCTGGACGCCCTGGGACTGCGTTGCAATCAAATCCACTGAGCAATCCAACCCATCCCATCCCATCCCATCCAATCCTTTACCGCTCCTCCCATCCTTCGCTTCGCCGTCGCAGGAGGAGGAGGCGGAGGAGGTGGAGGGGGGAGGAGGAGGAGGAGGTGGAGGAGGAGGCGGAAGGGGGGGGTTCAGTTCTTCTCGGTAGAGGGCGAGATGAGATTCGGCCCTTGGTCCTGGTAAGATGCCCCACCCCCCCATCGCCCCCCTCCTCTTCCACCGCCCCCCCTCTTGTTGCGAGTTCGAGAGGCAGAGAGGGATGGATGAATGCGCCAGCTCGCTCGCACCCAGTCGAAACCTGCAGGCAGACAGCAACTAAGCGCCTGCAGATCTCTGGCAGCTGGCGTCTTCGATCGTTCGGGCCTTCGGGACTTAGCGCAAGAGCAAAAACAGTTTTCGGTCGCGGACCTGCAGTTTAAAAATCTATCCTGGAAAAATCACATTGGATGTCGACGTCGTCACCGCTGCCATCTGGCAGCTGGCGTCTTCGATCGTTCGGGACTTCGGGACTCAGAGCAAAAACAGTTTTCGGTCGCGGACCTGCAGTTTACAAATCTATCCTGGAAAAATCACATTGGCTGTCGACGTCCATTGTTTTCGCTTCGGGGATCTTCTGACCCGGGTCAATGCAGACCCGGGTCAATCAGGCCTGCAAAATCCTGCAATCTCCTGCACCCAAACCAGGGTCAATGCGAAGGATCCTGCAGGATCCTGCAGGATCCTGCACCCAAGCCCGGGTCAATGCGACCCTGGCGCTGCAGGATCCTGCAAGATCTGGCGCTCTGGCTGACCCCCGTCTGCACTGACCCCCGTCTCGAGGCTCCCGATCGCTGTCGGCGTTGCCCCGGGCCCGCTGCCGGGCGCTCGCCCCCTCCGCGATCACGAGCCCGCGCCATCGGCCTTGCGGGGGGAGGGGCGGGCGAGAGCAGGCATCAGAGGGGATAACATAGAAGGAGGAGCGACAGCATCGGCAGGAACATGCCAGAATCTAAAGAAGGAGGGGGAGGAAGGAGGAGGATGAAAAAAATAGAAGAGGAGGAGTCAGTTGCCAATTTGGTTCAAGCTGGCTCAAACTGCATCCGAAACATCTAAATAGGCAGTTGGCAGTTATCGCGAGGACGAAGAGAGAAGAAAGGCGTGTCCAGCCTTGCCGGCATCGCCATCCTCGATCACCTTCTTCTTGTCGGCCTCGGCTTTGGCTGCGGCCTTCCTCTTCGAGTTGATCTTCTTCACGAGGCTGTTCCCGGCCTCGTACCTGGTGTCGAACCAAGCCGTCCACTCGACGAATTTCGCCTGGACCTTGACGAACGCCTCCTGCTGGTATGTCTCAGGGCTGAGACCCACAAGCTTCTCGCCAATCTTCCACAGCTCCTTGGCCCTCTTGGCGTGCTGCGTCATCTGTTTCTCGATATCCGTGGAGAGCTGATGGGCGTTCAGCTCAGTCGAGAGCCGCTCTGCCCTGGACACTTGATTGAGCATGTCGCTGAGCATGGTAGTGGCCATCGCATAGTCGGCTGGATCTAACGTGTAGGAGGTCTTTGCAGTCCCCTGGGCCTTTCCCTTCGGGTTCTTGGGATCCTTCGTCGGCTTGCCAGCAGGCGCGGGGACGAGCCCGAATAATTTCTCACCGCCTTCTTGCCCAGCGAGCGCCATCGCCCCCCCGAAGAGACCGTCACTGCTGAGCAGCGCTTTCGCGCTATCCTGGTCAAGATCCTGCGCCCCTTCCATGGACATCTCGATTTCCTGCTCTGACGACTTAATGTTAGCCAGGCGGGTGCGGATCAAGTAGTACCGCTCATTCGTGTCGTTCGGGAACTCAGCATCCAACTGATATTGCCCTGATCCATCCCTCTGCTTCTTAAGCTCATCGACCTTCTCCGGGCTGTAGAAAGCGAGCATCTGCTTCGGCTTGAGCCACTCCCAAACAGCCTGCAACGTGGAATTCCATCAGCACGCATACCATACCGAGCCCATCCAATCGAGGACGTCCACTAGACAGTGGCGGGGCACATGGATGCCAACGAGGGCGTCGGCACCCAACCTCCCACTACCGATCAGTGGACGCCCTGCTGGTTGGACTCACATGGATCCAGGACTGACGCAATTGCAGCCTCGCCCCTGTCGCGCGCAGTGATCTTCAACTGGATCTTCTTAGTGAGTTTCGTCGGGTCCTTGTTGCGCTCCAGCCAGAGATTGAAGGCTTGGAATTTGCCCTGCTTGGTGGCCGCCTCGTCCTTGATGTTCTGCGGGTAGGTGGTGGTGTTCTTGAGCTGCCTGACAGAGGCACAACGAAAACGAAAGGCTAGGAATGACTAGCCATCGGTCGTTGAAAGTAGGTATTTCGGGATTCCCAGATTCCAATCTACTTTCGGCGCCTTCAAGAGTCGAGTGGTTTTCCCATTTCCTTCCTCCTCTGGAGGCGGGCAGAAACCCAATCTATTTCCAACGCCTTCCTACTTCATATTTCTACCTACTTCTTCCGACCGATGGGTATAGGATCAGGCGGTGAGGAGCGAGAGGCGAGAGATAGAGGGAAGAGGGAAGGAACGTGAAGAAGAGCCTTGTGAACACAGCCCACTCGGCCGGCGCGGTCACCGAGTTGTGGCGCACGCGGACAACGGGCATATCGTGGGCAGGCCCCGCCGCCTCAGGCATGGCCGCCGCCGCAGCAGACATGCTCGGCGCCGCCGCTGCTGGCGCCGCCTCCGCCGCAGCAGGCATGATGGGCGCCGCCGCTGCTGGCGCCTGGTGCAGCGGCTGCGCCGTTGGCAACGGCGCGGCCGGCGGCTGCGGCGGCGGCGGCTTCGCCGCGGGCGGCTCCGCAGAGGCTGCCAGCGCAGCTGGAGTCGGCATTGCAGCCTTCGGCGCCACCATCTCTGGGGCCACTGCAGCGGCCTTGGCAATCGTGGCCTTCGGCGCTGGCACAGCGGCAACGGCCCCCACAGCCTTGCCCCCGAACAACTCAGCTTGCAGCCCGCCCATAGAGAACTCCTCAGGCGCACCCGCCGTCACGCGATCGCCAAGGTTGTAGTCCAACCCGATGTCCAAGACTGATGCCAACTGCGTGTCGGCCCCTGGGAGCGTATCTTTAGCACCGTCTACATCATCATCGAGCGTGCGGATCTGCGCCTCGATCCCCGGCAGGGGATCACCCGTCGGCGTCGGCGCGATCGAGTCGGCGGCCATAGCATCCAGCGCACCATTGAAGGCATGAAGCGAGTCTACAGGTGCAGCATGCGGATCCATCTCCTGATCACCATCTCCCTCCAAGATCTTCACGATGAAAGCGTCGATTAAATCTTGGGCACCTCCATCCTCAAGCACTGCCAAGTTGTCCTTAATGATGGACAAGTCACCACCGTGCTTCTGGATGAATTCGTCATCATATGGTAGCTCCGCCTCCTTCAGCTGATCGCGCATCTGTTGCATCAGCATGTCCCCGCGGCGAGATAGCTCAATCTCCTGCAAGAAACACCACAAGGTTTGCCCATCCTGTCGCACGTGTGCACACGCCTATGGCGCGCATACATGCACAGAGAGGTGGGCAATCATTGGGGCGAGGTATCCTCTTGATCTTCAGCTGAAGGTTCATCGTCGTCAGAGAACTGCTCCGCCTTCACCCAGTACTGGCGCTTCTTCATCGGATCTGGTGGGTTCGAAGGGTCGTCGCGACAGTGCCCAGCCTTGACCTTGCCGCGCAGGAACATCGTCAGCCTCGCGCCTGACATATGCTTCGACATCTGCGACTCGTTCTTCCAGGTCATCTGAGACACCGACGTCATGTCCGACGTTGCACTCGAGACCGATGGACTCAAGGCCGCGCAGACGGATGGCGAGCGCCCGACCCCTGCTGGCGATGCCACAGGCGGCGCATTGGCAGCCCCCTCCTCGATGGGAAACAAACAAAAGCGATCGGTGAGGACATTCCTCATCATGATCCTTCATACTCTCATCCTCCTCCTCCTCCTTATCCTCCTCCTCCCCCATCCCCCTCCTCCTCCTCCTCCTCCTCCTCCTCACCATCATCGTCATCCCGCTCCTCCTCATCCTCCTCCTCATCCTCATCCTCATCCTTCGCATCCTCCTCCCCGTCAAGCTCGGCGGCATCGGCCGCAAGGCCCTCATGATACAATAGAGCACTCGAGGGAGGTCATGCGGTGGAGGCATGCGATAATGGAGATTATGTTTGTACTTATATACCTTACACCACACATCCAGAGGCGGACCCGGGGCCGAAACGAATGCACATGGGGAGATAAACCTCATCGCGCGCGCACACCGTTGGATGAGCGGATAGCAAGGGGAGGGGGGGCAGGAGGACGAACCAGTGAAGGAGAAGCAGGAGGAGGACTAGGACAAGAAGGGAGGAGCAAGTCGACGCATGGAGGGTGAGCCAGCAGAGGAATAGAAAGATGATGATGACGAGAAGACGGCAGAATTTGGGACATGCAGGGGGGATCCATATGTTGCGTCTTCACTTTGAGAGCCTCCTCGAAAGTGGCGTCGGTCTTCTGGCGCTTCCTGAACAGCGGTCCTGGGCCCATGGGATGCATCCCTGCGGGAGATGGCGCCTTGCGAGCAGTCTTGGAGGCCGACACCTCACTGAAGGCAGCGCCACCAGCAGGGGGAGTCGAGGCCATCACGCGCGCGTACCCCTGGCGCAACGAGCAGCACAAAAGAAACCCCTCCTGACACAAGCGCTGCAGATAAGACGAGTCATGTAGGCCGAGTAGGCCCTGAGTAGGCCCTGAGTAGGCCCTGAGCCTCATCCTCCTCCTCCTCCTCCTCCTCCTTCTCCTTCTCATCCTCTCTCTCCTCCCGCTCCTCCCCCTCCTCCTCCCCCTCCTCCTCTTTCCACCTCCTCCTCCCACCCCCCCCCCCCCCCCTCCTCCTCCCCTCATTTCCTTCCTCCTCCTCCTTATTCCTCCCTTCCTCCTCCCCATTTTTATTTTTTCCTCCTCCTCCTCATCACCCTCCTCCTCGTCATCCCCCTCCTCCCCCTCATCCCCCCCCCCTCCTCCTCGCCCCCCTCACCCCCCTCGACGGAGCGGGCCGTCTGGGCGAATCCGCGCGGCAACGAAATCCCTCCAAGTTCACCGATGGCCTCTTCTTTGGCCCCGCCTGGCCCGGAGGAGGTGGCGGAGGTGGGGGAGGAGGGGGGGGGCGAGCGGGAGAAGGAGGAGAAGCAGGAGGAGGAGGAGCGGGAGGAGGGGATCGCACCCGCCCCAACAAAAAGTTGAGAGAAGGAGGGAGGAGGAGGAGGAGGAGGAAGGATGAGGGAGGAGGAGGGGGGGGGGAGGAAGGGGGGGGAGAGAGAGGGGGAGGAGGAGAAGGAGGAGGAGGGGGAGGAGCGGAGGAGGAGGAGGAGGAGGAGGAGGGCGGAGGAGGATGAGGCGGAAGAGGAGGAGGAGGAGGCTAGAGGAGGAGGGAGGGGGGGGGGGGGGGCGAGGAGGAGGAGGGGAGGAGAGGGAGGGAGGAGGAGGAGAGAGGAGGAGGAGGGGGGAGGAGAGGAGGAGGAGAGAGAGGAGGAGGAGGAGGGGAGAAGGGGGAGGATGCGGAGGAGTGAGGAGGCGGAGGCGGAGGAGGAGGAGGAGGAGGAGGAGGAGGAGGAGGGGGGAGGAGGAGGAGGAGGAGGAGGAGGAGGAGGAGGCGGAGGAGCGGGAGGAGGAGGAGGAGGAGGAGGAGCTGATTACCACTTTACGGCTTTCTACGCTGTTCTCCGGCTATTTGACGGCCACTCTACGGCTCATGTTTAATTTTCAGATGGTGTCGAGTAGGTGTTTGACATAAGTTTAAAGTAGGTGGTTGCCACTTTACGGCTTTCTACGCTGTTTTCCGGCTATTCTACGGCCATTCTACGGCTCAGTTGTTCTAACAGAATGCTTTTGTTTTTCCAGGAACCGAATGATTAGAGGTTGATGGCTGCTTGCTGCGAGCACCATGTGGCTACATGCCGCATCTCAGAATCTTGCCAGCGATCAGTTCCAGCGAGCTTGCGCATGCCAGCGGTAAGTTCACTCAGTTGCCACGGCACCGTAGCGGCATCAGTCTCAAGCTTGCGGGCGGCCGAGCGGAGCTCCTCCTTTTGGGCGCAGAGAAGAGGAAGCAGAAGGAGGAAGAGGAGGAGACGCGAGAGAGAGAGGGAGAGAGGAGGGGGAGGAGGAGGAGGAGGAGCAGGAGGAGGAGGAGGGGAAGGAGGAGGAGGAGGAGAAGGAGGAGGAGGAGCAGGAGGAGGAGCAGGAGGAGGAGCAGGAGGAGGCGGAGGCAGGGTGCCCCTCCCCCTGCGCCCCGCAGGTGCGATGGCGCGCCATCACGACGTTATCAGACACCACGGCGCCTCCACCCGATGAATCGTGGAAGGGGGGAGGAGACATAATGAGGGAGGGTGTAGTGTTAGTTTGGAGTCTCAGCCAACCTTGTGCGCCAAGTACAGATCGCGAACGGCCATGCCGAATCCCACGGGGTAGGCTTGCGACAGCTTCAGCTCAGGTTTGTTGCCGTGCACCTTCCCGTCGACGCTCGCGTACAGCGCGACGGCGGGGCCATGATATTCCCCGTACTTATGTTGGGCATCTATGAGTTCAGAGATCCAGGGATGTCCCGAGTAAATCCACGTCTTCTTCTCGCTGGAACCGCCGAAGGCCCCCATGGACACTGCGATGCGGTACACCCGATGACGCTTGGCAAATTCTTGGAACCTCTTCGGGGCGGAAGGGAGAGAAGAAGGGTGAAGGAAAGGGGGTGCGGGGGGGGGTAGTAGTGGGAGGAGGGGGAGGGGGGGGGGGAGGGGGGAGGGGAGGTGGGGATAGGGCGGGATGTCGCACGCATGACCTCAGAAAACCATGAACGCATTATAGATCGTACACGAGGTGAAGGACCCGCGGACCCCAACATTCCAACATTATGAGGTAATGTGTTGCCCCAGGAACCTAGGGTGAACTTCGAGCAGGCCGTTCATCGGCTGCTCCAAGAACCAGAAGGTGCCCCGAGCACAATTGACCCACATAATAGCAACGACTCGCGATACCATCGTGTTGGCGTCCTTCACACAAGGCACATGTGGGTCACCGAGCGGGTACCATAGCCGACGTTTGGTGCTGAAACGCGATAACCATACCCAAGTGGAACACACAGGCGCAGTGTTAGTACCACCGCCGCTCTTCAACCGAGCAGCTAGAAGCACCGCGTTCACAAACCCGATCGGCGTCAACATATTTTGCATGCAAACATCTGCATTTTTCTCGAATGTTGCCGCAATAAGACCAGAACCTACCATCGCATGTGTAACAGCTTGGTCTCCACCTTGGGCGGAGATTCATGCGTGGCTCGTGAGATCATCGTCTTATACCCCCCTCCCCCGGTTAAAACTCGACCCCTGGAAATCTGCGCAGGGGGTCGTCACTTCTGTCGTCACAGTGTTGTGATTTTTAAGAGGACCGCCACTGAAATACTCCACCCAATCGAAGTTAGGTGATGCATCCAGGCCTGGATGCCGTACCACAGCATACGCAATGACCTCAAGATAATACAATAAGAGGCACGCAATTCATGATCATGACAGTTAGAAAACCAAACAGCCACTGGAAAATGCGCGGTGCAATTTCCATAGCCGGTTGATAAACCACACCGACCATGACCATCAATGGCGCGCCAATCGCCTTGAGCTGCCTCATGAGGAGATGGGATAGCACTCGCTGCTGCGATGCCGCGGCAGCTGACTTAGCCATGCCTTTCTTGATAGGTGCACCTGGAGGGGAGGGGGGGGTGAGTCTGGGGGGGGGGGGGAGATAAAAAGAGAGAGAGAGAGAGAGAGAGAGAGAGAGAGAGAGAGAGAGAGAGAGAGAGAGAGAGAGAGAGCGAGAGAGAGAGAGAGAGAGAGAGAGAGAGAGAGAGATAAAAAAAAAAGAAAGAGAAAGAGCGAGAGAGAGCTTGAACGAGAGACAGATGAAGACAAACTGAAGGATGAGAAGTGAGCCCTAGGGTGATATACAGCCTCCGCGGCACAGAAGATCCACGCTGCCCCGCGTGCCAACCCCGGCCGCCGCAAGGGGGCGGCCCCCCGGCCGCGGAACTCGAGCATGGGGGGCGGCGGAAGGGAAGTAGATGCAGCGATACGGCGGATGCATTGGATAAGTGGCTCTAAGACAGGGAACCGAGGGCATCCCGATAGACCTATGAGCATCCAAGCGTTGCCCCAGAGTTGCACCAGGGTCTGGCCAGCAGGAGACCACTCACCCAATACAGCCACCGCATCGCTGCCGACGATCAACAACAATGTCGATGGCGATCGCGATGGCGATGACGATGGCGATGGCGATGACGATGATTACTCGACGGCGACATTGTGGCGAAACGATCACGATGATTTCTTCGCTCTACCGAAGCACGTTCGATGCCGAGCCTCGAACTCAACCTACCTACGATTTAGACGTGCATCTGTTCAACCTTTCCCAGGAGATGTGGGAAGAGGGGAGCAAGCTGCATGTGTTGACCACGCGAGCTATAGGACAGCGTGACGATCCCCCACAGCATTTCCAACGAATTATTCCCGCACGGGGTACAGTTGACCTCGCTAGCAGCAGGTTGCGTTCATCGCAACATCATTATAGACAGAGCGGCATGTGCGTACATCCTCATCCTTCCTATTCCGGATTTCCCTCATCATCCACTTCATCATCCTCTTCCCTCCTCCTTCCCTCCCCCTTCCGCTCAGCGAGGCTCAAGCTTAATTGCGAAAACTTGCGCTCACGCGCCAGCGAGCTTGGCGCGCTTAGCAGGCAACGCCTGCAGGTCCTGCACAGCAGAGCATTTCCTGGAAGGCGTCGGAGGCACCAGCTCAGGCTTGGCCCGGTGCGCGAGGGCCCCATCGTCAGCGTCGGCCAACGAGCAAGCGTAGCTGTAATCATCCATCCTCGCCTTGAGGTAGTTGTCGAGCGTCGGAGTGAGGTATTCGACAGTGTCTGGCATGCGGTGAAGGATCTCCGCAAGAATAGCATTAGCCTTCTTCCGCGCCAGACTCTGAGGCTCGGGAACGTCCAATACCAGAAGACCGTCATTCGGGCCGTGCTCAAGGTCATGCTCTCCATGGCGTGCACGCTCATCGATGCGTTCGCATTCCTTCCGGCAGCGGGCGAGCTCATTGGACATCTGTTCGAGATTCTTCTCAAGTTGCCATTGACTCCAGGTCAGCGGGCGTGGAGGCGCTTCGACTGGCATCTTGTCAAGCATCTCGGCCATCAGCCATTCCGCTCTGCGAAATGCATCAGAATCCTCGGAAGGCCTCCTCTCCGGGATCAGCACGTCGTACTCGCCGAAGGCCGGCATCAGCACGTCGTACTCGCCGAAGGCTTCGCTAGGAACTGGAGAAGGCGGGATCCGCCGCAGACTGTCGAGGCTGTGATCTTCATCGTCGAGCGAGCGGTACATCTTGTCGCCCTCGTCGATGCTCGATTGGTCATCGTAGTCGTGGTCCCAGTCCGGGCCATCGTAGTCGTGGTCCCAGCAGTCCTGGCCATCGTAGTCCTGGCCATCGTAGTCCTGGCCCCAGTCCTGATCATCGTAGTAGTGGCCCTGGCCATCGTAGTCCTGGCCCCAGTCCTGATCATCGTAGTAGTGGCCCTGGCCATCGTAGTCCTGGCCCCAGTCCTGATCATCGTAGTCGTGGCCGTCGTAGTCCTGGCCATCGCAGTCCTGGCCCACGTCCTGATCATCGTAGTAGTGGCCCTGGCCATCGTAGTCCTGGCCCCAGTCCTGATCATCGTAGTCGTGGCCATCGTAGTCCTGATCATCGTAGTCCTGGCCCAAGTCCTGAACATCGTAGTCCTGGCTCCAGCTGTCCTGATCATCGTAGCCCTGGCTCCAGCTGTCCTCACCATCGTAGTATGAGAACGAAGCCATGCGTGCAAACGCTCTCTGCAGACTTGGCGCGAGAAAGACCAGTGACCCTGCAGCCAAAATAGCTACTGTCGCACCTAGGGCAGAAGAACACCCTTCAAGAACACGAGAACCTCCGCCGGCCAAAACACGCAGAACATTCAAGGGTACCCTCCCCAAGATGCACAAGAACATCCAGCAAACACAGAGAACATTACGGCACCCTCTCCAAACCGTCCTCGATCTTATGCTTCGGCACGATTGTAATGCGGAGAGGGGGAGGGGGGGATTCGGAAATCCGTCAAAAACCTGGGCCTGGACGCAGACGTGCGTTTGGGCCAATCCAAGCCCGCTGAGCGATGTTGAAGGCCCCCGTGGTTAATCCAAGCCCGCTGTCTGTTCTGGAAGCCTGCTGTGTTTTGTGGAATGCCTCTCGGCCCAGGGTTCAATCACCCCGCTCCTCTGGACTACGTGATGCCTAGGACACCTTGAAACAAAACATCAGCTCCCTTCTCATGATCATCCTCATCGCTCAACCCATCATTGCTCACCCCCCTCCTCGCTCACCCTCCTCTCGCTCCTCCCCTCCCCATCCTCCTTGTCCTTTCTCCTCCTCGCTCCTCGTTTCGCCCTTGTTTGTTCTCGCTCTTCCTCGCAAGCACGCGAGCAAGCGCGCGAGCGCGAGCGGCCGGGCGGAGGTGCGTCTCTTGGCCGAGCCGATGTTGATGCGCCCCATCGCACCTGGCGGCCGCAGGGAGACAGAGTTCGGTTCGGTTCGGTTCGGTTCGGCCCCCATGACCTGGAGGCCCAGGAGGAGGAGGGGGAGGAGGGGGCGGGGGGGGAGGAGGAGGGCGAGGAGGAGAAGGAGGCGGGGGAGGGGGAGGAGGAGAAAGAAGAGGAGAGCGGGAGAAGGTGGGGGAGGAGGAGGGAGAAGAGGAGGAGGAGGACAAGGAGGATGCGTTCCCTCGCTGATCCTAAAGATGCGTTTAGAATTGCATCGGGCCCTCAGCGGGCCCCTGGGGCTGAGGACATCAGACCCTGAGGACATCAGACCCTGGTGAGGTTTTTTTCTGAGAACACCAGACCCTCGACGTCTCTCGCTGACGGGCCCTGGGCGGGCCCTCGGGCCAGTTTAAAACCGTTCCCACTGCGCTCCTCCTATTCCTCCCCCCCTTCTCCCCCCCCCCCTCCTGCTCCTCCTCCGTCTGCCCTCTCGGCTGATTTCGCAACGCCGAGGAGGACGGAGGGGGGAGAGTGAGGAGGAGGGGGGGGGAGGGAGGGGGAGGAGGAGGAGGAGGAGGAGCAGGTGGAGAAGCGCTGACCTCTATTGCTACTTTTGTAGCATAGATAGTCGTACTTTTATAGTACAAGCAGTAGAAGAGTAGCATACACGTCGGCTGCTCGGGCGCTGCATTCCGCTTGCATGCAATCCGCGCGGTGGAGGACGGCTTGCTCCTCCTCCTCCTCCCCCTCGTCCTCCTCCTCCTCCCCCTCCCCCTCCTCCTCCTCTTCCTCCTCGCCGTTACCCTCCCCTCCCACTTAGACCCCGCCCTCGTCTTACTCTACGTCCTTCGCCGGCCTCGTCCTCGCCCTCCTCGACATCCTATTCCTCGCCCTAGTCCTCAAGCCTTACCTCTCTCACGCTTCATTGCCTCTGCTCGCCCAACCCCAATCGGACGAACTGTTTCTATCCGCGGCACGAGGTCTTGCACTCCCCAGCAGCACCGCGAATGAAAAGGATGCCTGAAATCGCACTTCCCCCTTCATCCCCTATCCCTATCCAAAACCCCTCTGAGTTTGCCAGGCGCGCTGGCAGCTTAAGAAGCGCATTGCGCATTGCACAGAACATGCTTCGCCTCGCCCGATAGGAGGCACCCAAAATCATACATCTGCGCAACTGCGTAGCGCGAGTGGTCGCCGGAGCGGGCCGCCTGGGCGCGCACGCGTGGCAGCGAAATCCCCGCGCTCGAGAACATCCCTGCGTTCTGGCAGGCGGCCCGGAGGTGGGGCCGCGAGAGAGACAGCCAGCCGCGAGCGCTCAAAGCCTACAGGCCGTCAGGACGTCACGCCTTCAGGGCGGCCCGGCGGGTAGCCACCGCGAGCGCAAGCCATCGGGACGTCAAGCCTGCATCTGCCAGGCGCGCTCAAACTGAATATGCTCCTTGAGCTTCGCCCACGCAATGGAAGTACCGCCGTGGGAGCCCCGCGCGAAGGTTCTGGCGGGCGCAGGATCTGACATCACCACGTCTCCGAACGATTTCACGTAGAAAGACCTTTTGTCGAGAATGACCTCCACCTGAGAAGCGATTGAACTCATGTGGATATGCTTCCCCACTCGGC